GTTGTTGTTTGTTTGTTTTTTGTGTGTGTGTGAGTGTGTGTGTGTGTGTGTGTGTGTGTGTGTGTGTGTATGTATCTTAGGAGAAATCTTTTCCTTGGCAGTGTGGAGAAAGAGTTAGTAAATTAATGTGCTTTCTTTTTTTTCAGTGCTGTTGACCACCCTTATTATCCATTTTCTGAAGAGTATTGACCATGAGCTACAGAACATTCCTTCTAGAATTCCTTTTCTCTAGGCTGTGAGGGGAGGATTTCCGTGTTTGGTGGAGGAGACAGGAAGCAGGGTCTGTAGTATCAGGTTCTTTAGTGTCATTTTCTCATTTTTTGAAATAATAAAGACTTCAAATGAAAGTGGTTGTTTTTTCTGATTATTAAAATAGTACATACAAATTATAGAAAATTTAGAAAATAGAAGGGAAGGATACAGAACAAAAATAACCTGTAATTCTCACACTCAAAAATACTTAACATTTGATGCTTTATTCCTTCATGATTTTCCTACACAAATATGTGTGTTTCTGTGTGTGTGTGTTTTTATTCACAAACTTGATATATTCTTCAACATATGGATTGTACATTTCTTCCACTTAACATATTTTCCCAATCTATCAAATAATATTTATAAATTCCAGTATTATATTTTGCACGTTGTAAAGCAATGCATCTTATTAGTTTATTTAGTTTCTTAATCATCTACCCATATTTTGGCTTTTTGATTAGTTCTTGTATACTGTGCCATTCATTCTTTGATTCATCCACCAAAACTTTATTGAATATTCTTTGCATGCCTGTTATTGTTTTATTAAGAAATAAAATAGGCAAAAATTAAATGAGATTAAAATAAAAAGTGTCTCGAGTTTACTAGAAACAGTCTAGTGGGGGAAGTAGACTATGAAGAAAATAATTAAGAACTGTTCAGTTGTTTGAAATTGTCAAGTGGCTGTTGGGAGATTAATCTGCATGGTCTCTCACCTTCCTGCACATTTGATAAACAGGGGTACTGAGTGCCCTTCACTCCACATATTTTTCCGAGAAGTTTCTACATCAAACAGCCTTGACATATGGAGATAGTAGCTCCCTCCAAAGAAATGGAAGGAGTGTCTACCGTCCACTAATAGAAAGAAAATATCTTCATCTAGTCCAATGGCAGCCATCCATACTGACTGTTATACATGATTTGGGTTCCCTAAACTCATGGTTTTTCTACAGGAACTCAACCCACTGCATGTGCAAGTACCACTGGGGCCCTTCTCTTCACCCTCTGGTTATTGAAGCTCAAGGAACCATCACAAGAATGCTGTTACTTTTGCTACACGTATTGTTAAGAGTATGAACTGTCCTTCTATCCTGATCCAGAAGTTTCATGACTTCCAGCAGCATCCATGAAACAAATTAATATGTTAGCTTGCACGTCAGGTTAAAATCTTAGGTCTTTCTTTCATGATTCTTGACAGTGATTTGAACAATAAAGCAGGAAGGGAGAACATGTAGTGGTGGGTGGAATAGGAGTGTCGGGTGCTATTTTAAGTTTTGTGGTCAGAATAGATTTCACTGAGAAGCTGGCTCTTGAGCAAAAGTGTGAGCGAGCCATGTGGATATGGGATATGGGGGAAGAGTATTCTTAGCATACAGAACAGAAAACACGTAAGGCTCTGAAGAAAGAATTTCTGCAACAATTTAGTGGAGGGCAATTAGGCTAATCTGAGTAGAGTTTTGTGAGCAAGGGAGATGTTAGCAGACGATAGGATGCAGAACAGCCATGGGGTGATGCCATGCAGGCTCTTGAGGGAACTTCCACTTTATTCTAAAGGAAATGGAAAACTACTGCTAAGTGCTGAGCAGAGAAGCTACATGGGCTGATACGTTTTAAAAGGATCATTCTGGATGTTGTGCTAAGAAGACACCACAGGTGAAAAAGGGAGATTAGGTCTCTCTTAGGGTTCTGTGAAAAATTCAGGTGAGAAATGATGTTGGCTTGGACCACAGAACAAGCAGCAAATGTATTCAACATTTGTCAGACATATTTTAAGGGTAGAGTCAAAAATTTTTCCCTTACATATTGGATGTATGGTGAGGGAAATAAAAGGAATCAAAGCTGACTCCAGAAATTTTGGGTTAAGTGTCTGGATGGAAGGAGCTGTCATCTGCTGATATGGAGAAGATGTGGCAGGAGCAGGTTTTTGTAGGAAGATTGAGTTCAGTTTCTGACACGTTACGTTTGAGATGCCTCTTATGTATCCAAGTGGAGATGCCATGTAGACAGCTAGGCATATAAGTCTAGAGGACGTTTATAAGTCTAGAGGAAAGGTGTAAGCCAAAGATATATATCTGGGATTTATCAGAAAATAGCTCGCACTTGAAGCCATGAAATGAAATGATCAGATATTAGATTTGATGAGTGCCAGGGACCAGCCCCAGCACGGAGATTGTAAGGTTCCCGCTGGTAAGGAACCCCCAAAAGGGAGGAAGGGCAGCGTCGGCGATGGATGGACAGCAAACACACAGACTCAAGGGATCTGCTGAATGCTGACATTTTATTGAAGCATGTACACACCTTTTATACCTTTTTTCTTGGAAACAACATAATCATTGAACAATATCATAATATCTCTTTATGAGTGACATGTGTTTCAAGAAAAATAG